GCACAGCAGTTTGCTTCGAGCCGTGCCTTTCCTGCTTCTGTGTTGTGAGTGTTGGAAGCTGGGCAGAGGGTGAACAGAGGAGAATGGGCAGAAGAAACCCAGATCGTGCACAGAACAGCTGATGGCCAGAACACTGGTGTGGGCTTCCAACTCCACATTCAGATTGAAAGAACGTCCCTTCCCTTTGTCCAGAGCCCTTCGGACTTAAGTTGGAAGCTGTCACCTCTGTGCAATCTTGAACACGAAAACTTGGGGTAGAGAGTCGGGCTGCCTCGTGTCCCAGTTCCAGCTCTATCACATACACAAGGCTGGTATGTGATAGGCTACCTCTTCACCTCTGCAAGGCCCCCTGCCCGTGACCGCAGAGGCCACCCTGCTGGGGTGAGGTACTAACAAGGCAGGGCTTGTAGAGCACCTGGCGTGGCTGGCACATCGTGGCAGAATTTATTCTTTGCTAGTAATGATGGCAGTGATCGTCCCTCCTCCTCCTCTGCACGTTGGCTTTGGGTCTACTCACATTCCTGGAATTGTCGGGCAGGTTTTCCATATTAACTCAGGAACTTCCCAAGGGAACACCCTCCAGGAATTAGATGAACAACTGTGCAGAAAAATCTACCCCACATGAAAATCTCTGGTATCTTCAAAATTGACCAGTTTGGCTGAATAATGTCTGTTGCAGCTGTGACCTCCACAAGTTCCAGAGACTACTCACTCATCCTCGGTGGCATCAACCAAACACTGTCATACCGCATCTACCAGAACATCACTTACCAGGCGTGCAGGCACGCCCCCAGACACCGGGCCATCCCCAAAACCCAGCAGCTGAATGTGGACCGGGTCTTTGCCTTGTACACTGCTGGGGAAGGAGTACTTAGATTTGCTGTGACCAATCAGCTTGGCCCAGTTGAAGGTATGTTTCCTTCTGTTGTTTTGGCAAAAAATCGCATCCAGCTTTTTAAAATTCCTTTTTGAGTAGCCTCAGAATGATTCACGGAGGTTACTAAGGGTTACCGAGTACCAGGCTCTGTGTTAGGTGCTGGGCGTAAGGATGCGTAAAGCAGGGGCTTGTCTTTGAGGTGGAGACAGAGGTAGAAATGGAACTTGTAGAACAGTGTTCCTACCAAACTAAGGAATAGAGCACAATATGTGAGGCTGATTGGTGTGCCAAGCACACACCCCATGTGTATGCCAGTCTCTGCTGGGGAGACATCTGTGAACAAGGTGAGGCCGAGTTAGGAGGGGGACTGATGCTGACAGGTATTTATAATACTGATAAGAGCATGGCACTATGAGCCTAGTCTGGAAGTGTAGGGAAGAGGTACCCAAAAAGGGACATTTTAGCTAGAACTCAAAGGGTGAGCTGGATTTCACCAAATCAAATCAAATCAAATCAAATCAAGGTAAGACAAAGAGCCAGTGCCTGGAAGAACAAAAAGAGAGAAAAACACAAGTTGTTTTTCTTTACCCTCCTTTACCTCATGAGGAAAGCCTGGATGCTTTCACTCTGAAGATGTCTGTTCCTATCACTTCTGCTCAGCACTGCATCAGAAGTTTTAGCCGGGGCAATTAGGCAAGAAAATAAAAGGCATGCAGACTGGAAAGGAAGAAGTAAAATGATCTCTGTTCTCCTATGATGTGATCTTAATATGTAGAGAGTCTAATTCGTTAAACTGTTAGAACTAATGTGTTCAGCAAAGTCAAAGGATATAATTTTTGTATATCAGTCTTCTATTTCTGTGTAGTAACAATGAGCAAACTGAAAAGGAAACTTTAAAAACAATTCTGTTCCCAAAATATTTAGGAATAAAAAAATTTTTTTAAGTGTAACGCTTCTACATTGAAACCTATAAAGCAGTTTTGAAAAAAAAAAAAATTAAGACCTAAATAAATAGAAAATTAGACCTAATGGCATCTTTATGACTCAGAAGACTTATTAGCATAGCAGTGCTTCCTAGCATAGATTCAACACAATCCTATCAGCTATCAGCTGGTCTTTCTGCAAAAACTGAGAAGCCGATTCTACAATTGATGGAAACTTAAGGATCCCAGAATAGCCGAAACAAAATCGAAAAAGAACGGTTGGAGGATTTCCACTTTAATCAGGA